CTGCGGAGATAATAACTTACTCTGGCAGATATTTTCCCTGATTTTTCTGTTGTCGGCAATCCCTCCCTTTTTACCGCAGTTTTGCTTCTATGATTAAAAAAAATGATATTTTATCCCATACACTTAAAATATGACACCAATTTGGAATATCTGGACTAAAATTAGTGTAGGTTAATCATATGGTTCTTTGGCGTTCTCTTTTCCATTTCCTCATTTCTGCATTTCACCTAATATTCTTGCATATTTTCCCCATAATTTTGCTCCATGGGTGTATTGACTCTTCCATAGGGTACAACACACCAGCTTGGGAATGAACAAGATGAGGTTGAAAAATGCATAATGCACATTCCGTCCTTGTAACTCACCAATGAAGAGCCTCTATGGGTTTTGACATAAGCTAATCTATTTTCTCCAACCCTATATTTTGAAAGGGGGTTGCACTAAACAGTTCCTTAAACTCATTTATTACTCTTTAAGAACATATTTTGGGCATGTGTTTTGTTATGTTATAATACATAGTTATGCTCTCAAAATATGTATTTTTAAAGGCTTATTATGAGCATTTCTTGACTTCTCTTAGGGAACTAATCCTTCCTTTAAGAAACTCCCATGTCAAAACTTTTCTGTATATCAACATATATATTTCCCTACATCTCTTTAAACTGTTCTCTTTTCCCCCTTACCTATGTTAGTCTAATTTCTCAGTCATTATGGAAGACAGGTAGTCATCATCAATCTTATTTAGGCTCAGAGACCATCATCCGCCATTCATTTATTTGTTCCTTCAGCCTACAGTAATTACTGAACTTCTTATAGTGTCTAACATGTCTCTCTTTTTTTGGTGGGGGGACAAATTTCAAGTGTAAATTCCAGAAGAATAACACTTTATAGAAGCAATTACATAAAAATGAAGTTCGAGAATAAAAGAATATTTGGATTGCTCATTTTTTCAACCAAATATTCTGATCCTTAGTGAGTTGAAAGATCTTTAAAAATAATCAGTGATATACAATTCCAAGTAAGCTTCAGGATTTAGCCAATATAATACAAACTCCTGAATGACAGGCAGAGAATAGAAATGCCTAGCCATGTGAAGCCTTTATTCATGCAGCCTCCCTTACATGCAGTTCCTTGAGAGGTGGTATCTCCTGCTTGTTTTCAATGGGCCCTCTTTCCATGTAGCATTCGTCATTGTTTCAGCATGTTATTCTGAGAAGTGGGGGTACACCAGTGAGCAGTGAAAACTGCAAAGGCATTAGTTTACAATCCAGAGTCTGGAGTTTTGCCTAAATTCTTTTCAACAATTGTGTTTTTTCAGGTGGAACCACCCCTGCCCAGTGGGAGGATATTACAGGAACTACGCCATTAACATTTATCAATGAATGTGTTTCCTTTACAACCAATGTATCTGCCAGGTATGATCATACAGCACACGAGAGCCAACTGGGATATTGCTCCTTCAAACAGCCCCAATCGTGGGGGAGAGGGACCACCTTTATTTTCCTCCTTACTTTCTTTAAAAGTACCAAAAAATGTTTCGGTTATGTATGGTCTGCATTTGTTTCATATTTTAAACTATTTTTACCAATAAATATAATAAGGATGACACAATACTCCAAAGTACAGCAATGTTGCCACAGACCTAGCGGAGACCCCAAATCACAAGTTAATAATGGAGCCAGTAATTTCTTCAATGACGTTTACTCAATAATGCTTGTAAGTTCTGCAGCAGGAGCTTTGGTTTTATTTATTTATTTTAGTGACTGGGTTAATTCAAACTCAGTTCTTGGAGAACCTTGATAAAGATGATCAAGTCAAGGAAAATCAGGATGAGTTTCTTGAAAGAGTTGCAGGAAGCAGAATGAAGTATGGGAAAGAAAATCTAGGAAAACTGTTCATTGGTCCCACTTCACAGCCAATCTGTAGACTGAAATGGAACCCCACGTCTGCCTGCGCCATCCTGACAGTTGCTACCTTTGAGCCCATTGTTGGAGCCACTGTGTCAATCCATTTCCTTGACAGCCTTCCTCTTTTTCACTGACTTGTTGCTTTAGCAAACACCATGTCCTTCTCCAGGGACCAGTTCCCCTGGTAACATGTCCAACGCACTTGATACAGCCTCGCCACCCTCGTTTCTAACTGTACTTCTTTCAAAACCAATTTGGTTGTTCTTCCGGCAGTCCATGGTAATTTCAAGATATATTTTAGAGGATTGAAAATTCAGGACTTTCTTACAAAGAAAACTATAAATACAGTCCTTAAATAGTTGGTCTTAAGAACCTCGTAAATCTTTCTTTACTCCCCTCACACCTTTATTTCTTCTTTTCTAAATTCTCTTGCCTCTTCCTTGTCTTTTCCTTTTCCTTGTCTCTCATGCCCACCCGGAATTCCCCTTTCTTTCTTAAAAGAATAATTTGACAACTACTTCGGTCATACATTTATTCCAAGAAGTGATTCTTCTGAAAGGAGAAGGGATATTTTAAACTGTCAACAGGTGACTTGGTGTTTATTTTGCAGGTTCTGGTTGATAGACTGTCGACAGACCCAGGAATCCGTGACCTTCACATCACAAGTGTACAGAGAGATCATCTGTGTCCCGTACATGGCCAAATTTGTAGTGTTTGCCAAATCACACGATCCCATTGAAGCCAGGTTGAGATGTTTCTGTATGACAGATGATAAAGTGGATAAAACCCTTGAGCAGCAAGAAAACTTTGCTGAGGTCGCCAGAAGCAGGGATGTGGAGGTACTAAGTTTTCCAAGCAAAGAGTATTTAAACTCACATGTTGTTCATTCCTTTATTTACTTATTATATTGAAAGTAGAGTTTAGCAAATAGAACTGTTGTTTGTTTGTTTTAAACGCCAATCTACATTTTGATCGGTTTGAAGGTCAAGTTCCAAATGAGCCAATTTTGACCAGTTTCAGCTAATCGGATTGGGGTGGTCTCAGTGCATATGGGGATGTAAAATGATTTCTTTAAAGATTTGTTTGGAGAAAATTCGGAGTTGTTGATAAACTCAAAGTATGTAAATGACCAAAGCGGTTTTAAATTCCTTCTATGTCCTAATGGCCCTGATTACTTTTGCATAGTATGGAAAATGGTAAGGGAAGCACACCTTGTGATTGTATGCTATGCCAGGTTTTTCTACATGATGCTGTCTACTGGAAGAGGCCTTTGAAGCAAGTAATCTGACTCTTTAGGGTGTCAAAAATGATCCAATCAGGAATGTGAGCATTTAAAACCTAGTTGTTCTCTGGGTAATAGCCCAAGTGATAGCGTTAGATATAAGAATATTCAATGTCGCCATATAATGGAAGATTCTCATTACCAGTCAGAAGAGGGTTTGCTATTAAATGCTTTGTCCTCCATATGATAAAGTGTCAGTATGCTCGTATAATTCATTTGAAGTTTCTAGAAATGTCATCACTTCTTATTGGTGTAAATAAGTTATACTTGAAGCTATTATATTTTGTGTTCATCGCTCTTTTCACCCAGGTCTTAGAAGGAAAACCCATCTATGTTGATTGCTTTGGCAACCTGGTGCCATTAACCAAGAGTGGTCAGCATCATATATTCAGTTTTTTTGCCTTTAAAGAAAATAGACTTCCTCTCTTTGTCAAGGTAAAGTAAACTTAGGATATTATCTTTTTTTTTTTTTTTTAAGTCTTGACTGGCCTATGATTTCCTGAGTTTTTGAACTAAGGATTGAAAACAATCCTTTAAAATCCTAAGTTTTTACAGTGTGCCACATAATAACTTAGCTGGGGGAAATGATTGCCATTTAAAATCTTGGCATATTTGAAAATCTTATATGTCCCATCCCTTTTATGGTTGTCCACACATGACTTTCTTTAACTCTGGCTAAAACAAGGGCATTAGGTTCAATAATATTTTACCAGTATTTAATAATCCATTTATTTGAGGAAAAACAAATACAAAACAGGATTCTTGAGTGATTTTACCAGGCATATGTTTGAAAATATCTTTTTACTAAGTTTTGCCAGCTCTCCAGTGAATAATTTAAATAGTAATTTCCAGTTTGATGTTTTCATCTGATTAGAGAGAGCTTTTTACAGGTTATCACATTAAACACTCACAGCATTCATTAAAACGGTTTTCTAAGTAAACTAGGGTTTGATATTGTGGATTTGCAAAAGTTGTTCTACATGAGAATTTAAAAAAACAAGCAAACCAGGAACGTTTCTGTGTCCTGAGTTACCATTAACAACTGAATTGTCTTTTCCCTCTCTATTTTGAGCATCATCTAATATCATCTAATTAATATAAATAATATACATGGAATGAATAAAGACTCTCTGTCCTTCTTGTCCCAGGTACGTGATACGACTCAGGAACCTTGCGGACGACTATCATTCATGAAGGAGCCAAAATCCACAAGAGGCCTGGTGCATCAAGCTATTTGCAACTTAAACATCACTCTGCCAATCTATGCAAAGGTATTGTAAGATCTATTGTGCTACAATTCAGGCAGCATGGGGTTTTATTTTATAAGTTTCTTAAAGATAAAGCAAAGACACTGAATACAATCAGATACAACAGTCAGTTTTGATTCCCTATAAGAAGATTTTTATCTTTCAATTGAAGAAAGGAAAATAGCAGTTCTACCTTGATTTGCTTTAAATGCAAATTTCTAGAAATACTTCCTGGACATGGAAGAAAGAAAATTGGCTTAAACATTTAACTTCTTGGACCAAGTGTTTCCATAAAAGCATTGGATTGGTGTTCCTGGTTTGGTGAGACAAGGCCGGCATTGTGCCCTACCATTTGCTTCTGTTTTCTTCGGATTCACAGGCAGAATAAAACCCCAAACCAAACCCACTGGCATCAAGTTAATGCCAACTCACAGCAAACCAATGGGACAGGGTAGAATTAGCCTTGGCATTTCCTAAGACTGTAACTCTTTTCCAGGTAGAAAGCCTGTCTTTCTCCTGCAGGACAGCTGGGGATTTCAAACTGTTGACCTTGCTGTGAGAAGCCCAACACGTAAACACTACACCATTAAATTTTAAGAAATCGCATCATAGTCTATCTTGTAAAAATAATCACCTGCTCACTTCTACTTTCTTGGTTTACAAACATATCCTCACATTACAGGAAGTACTTTGTCTATATTGTATTTTGAAAAGAAAAAAATTCTTTGATTTATGACCCAAGGTAGGTATACAGATATCACAGGTCTCTCCATTAAAGAATTCTTTGTTTATTCTGAGAACGTCAAAGCAAAAGCTGAATTGAATAAGTATTGTGTAGAACTTTGCTTTTTACTGTTCACGTTTGTTTTCCCAATATTCCTTTTTAATAGAAAGTCTCCCATGGCAATGTCTAAAGAGGTTGTATCAAATTAGAGTATATGGATTAGACGTAGGGAGGGGAATGAGTATTGGGTGGTAAGACCTGGGATAAAGTAGAAATATATTTCAAATGCTAAATCTTGAGTCCATACATCAGAGAACTTCCTAACCTAAATACGTTGTCAGATTGTATGTTTTGCTTAATTCATTAGTGTGTCAGATACCGTGTAATAATGTGGAGAATGGCTCACAACAGCATGCTAGACACTGCAAGTTCTTACTAACTGATAAAAATAAAAGGATGTATTATGAACACAGATGTGCGTGTTATTCTCACGAATTAAGATACTATAGTAGATGCAGCCACCCAAATGAGCGAACTATAAGCTGACTGCAGTAGTGAAGAATATACTTTGAGGTTTGTGGAGCTGATTAATAATGAATCAGCCAATGCCAAGACCAAATAAGACCCGCAAACAAGCATACATCATTGTGGGCAAGACACCTGAGTGATACAGAAAGACAAATAAGCTTGGTGTCCGACCTCCATGAGTATTCAGTGTGTTATGAAAGAAAACATTCATTTATGCATCTAGTTCCCAAGTCAAGATCTGTCCGACACAGATTGCAGGACAATTTTCCAAGTACTAACTCAACCAAAAAAGAAAATGCCAGACCTTTTACACATCAGCTAGGTGTTAGGATTCAGTAAGTCCCCTCTATTCTAATAGAAAGGAGTCTCTGGGTGGCAAAAGTAGTTAAGCACTGGCCAGTACGCTAAAAGATTGCCACTCGCCTGGCAATCTGTTTCTGAGAAGTTGCTGCTTTGAAGATCCCACAGAGCAATTCTCCTCGGCACACAAAGGGTTGTCATGAGCGGCAATTAGCTCAACAGCAACTAGCAATATAATCACAATCAAAGCCCCAAGTGCTGCCTCTGTATTGAAAATACTTTCACCACGGTCCAGTTCTTACCACTTACCACTTGGACTCCAAATCTGCATTCACCCTTTCTGTAGTACACATATACATGCAATGCCATCAAGTCCACCATCAGGCTGTTGACGTGACCTCTAGTATCTGCAAATAGTATGGTTATGATCTGGTTCTTGCGTCTTGATTCCACAGTCTTTTGCATTGATATCGGTCCTCTTTAATGTTTCTGCCTGTCTTCTTTCATAAGAAGCAAGAGAATTCTGGCGATGTCTACATATGTGCTTGCCTGCTGTCATTTGTTATTAGGGTGTTTACGCTTTACATTTCTTCTAAATATTCTCCACTCTTCTGGCTCTCTTTATTCCATTTTGCACGGCATCTTGCGGCGGCCAGGAATCAGAGTCAGATCAAGAACCAGAGGAAGAGGTATGACAGCATCACGTGTTAATGGCTGGGTCAGTGCTGTAACCACTAACATGAGCACAGTTAACCTGTTTTCTTAGATGAGTCCTACAGTTGTTCTTAGTGAATAAAGGGCCAAAATTTTACTTACCCCTCTGAGCCGAAAAATATTAAAATTCCTGAAGTTCATCCATTAAGCTATCATAGCTTTCTAATGCAGAACTATACTAAAGCTGAGCAGTGGCTGTAAGACAGGATCTTTCCAGTGTGCCATGCTTACTCATCAAGACAGACCTGTCACAATCAGAATCCCTCGGCAGGGCATGCGCTACTACTGCCCGCATCATAGATGAAGAGACAAGTCTCAGAGTGACCCTGAAATAGCCATTTGAATTAGATCTGCTTCAGAATCTGCAGCAAGTATGTATTTGTGTCCCATCTAAAGATCTGGAAATTCCCAAACATTATATAAGATATAAATTTTTTTTTAAAGTTATAAATTTTAAAATATCAAAAATGCCCTCATGCTAACCTATTAACAGATCAGTTTCTAAGACAGACAAATATAATTGTTACTTGTTGGACTGGAATGCTTTCATATATACTAGTTTCTTTTTTTATTGTTATTTTGGCGCATTTAGAATACAAAAAAATATAAAGAATAACTATCATATGTCACCTTTCCGTCATCGCTGAGCTTAAAATCTGAGGCATGATTAGTTCCGAAGACAACTCTGAATTCAGGTTTTTATGGAGCAGGACATGGAGAGCAGGGATTTGTACACGTACGGACCTGTGGTGTACAGCCAAGCCAGATACTCAATAACCCTAAGGCAATACTGAAGCCATGCCCATGCTTCCTCTCCACAGGACAGTCACTCCCTCAGCTATTCAATCTCCTTCATGTACTCGGGGACGGAAGCTCTTAGCAACGATAATGAGCACCCTTCTTGAAAGAGCAGTTTATGAAACCAACTTTTCTATTCTCCCAAATGCTTCCCCCCTCCCCACTGGTTTTCTTTCTTTTTTGTGATCCAAGTGGGTTTTTTTTTTAATAGAGGATAGAAGCAGCTTCAAGCACTACGGTAAACTGAAAGAGGAGAGAGGGAGAGAGAACGAGAGCGCCTTATTTTTCTATTATTTTCAGAAAATACTCAGGGACCCGAGTATGTTCAGGTTTTTTGTTTTCCTTTTCAGGATTTAAGGTGCTGGCATACTCTTAGGGCGGCATACTACGAAGCTGTAGGGTTTCATCTGAACAAATGGTGTTTGTCCTCCCCTTCTTTTTCCTGTGTGAATCGTCACTGTTTAGTACCTACTTCACTGTCTTCCTGGCATTTCCCCCAGTACATATATATGTACATTTTATATCGACTATGACCTGGGGCCTACATTCACAGGACTCATGGTAGAAAGGACTGTCAACAAGTAATGTCTAGAAATTATAATTGCCCCCAAGTTAAGAAAAGAATCAAAGTGCCTCAGAAAGAACTATAGTCCATTACTCCGACTCTTCTCTAGCTTGTGGTATCACCCTCCCGTGTCTAATGACGAGTGTAGGCGTTTAGTGTGCGCATCAGGGGTGCTGAGACACTCATTGTAATCATTTCCATTTATGTATGTTTTCTTGCAGATCGATATGGCATCAGAAAAAAGTAAGATTTTAACTAAAATTGAATTTGTTCGAAAGCTGGCTACAGTAACGCATGAATTAGGATGCAAGCTAGTTGTCCTTACTAATAACTATAGCTTATTATATTGATATATTACCCTGATTAATTATTAATATATATTTTTTAAAGCAGCTTGGCCAGTTAAATTATGAATATATCTACTCTGTGAGCTAACTATCAATAAAGTACAATGATTATTCATCTAAGCATTCACTTTCTTTTTACATCCCTGTTAACCCTGCTATTGCTTTTATGCTTGTTTAAGAAACCTATCCTACTGTTTTTGTCCCATTGTTAGCATAACATTATCATCTCATTTTTTTAAGCACTGACATGACAGTATCCCTTTTGACACTGACTTCTCGCGAGAGCCATTATTTACGTATGATACACCTAAATAAAAAAGTGATACTGTTTAATAGTTTGCAGCCGATGCTAACCCACCACCCAGCCCTCATTCACGCTTATTACTGTGGTGAAGTATAACTGACAACCTTAGGGCAGATGCCTCTAAAGCTGTGTGTGGAAAATTTCCTGAAAAAAAATTAGGAGACCCAAATGAAAACCTTCCTGGATGAAAGGATTAACTCCACTAGTATATTTTCATAGGGCTAGTTTTTTATTATTATTCAAGTTCCAAAGCAAATCTAGTACACGGGGAATTGGTTTTTATAGACCTTTAAAGATCTTAGGATCATTTCAGGTTTGTTACATTCAATTAACATTTTAGTTTGTTGGCTGTTTCCCAATGATTCTTTAACTTCCTGTACAAGCTTCTTGTTTTTATTTCCCACATGTTTTAGAACAATAGAAAATTTAATTTTTAATGTTTGTCTACTTTAAGACATATTCTAATTTATTGTATTTTAAGGTGGTATTCCAAAAAGGAGAAAATGGAGAGCTATGTTTAATATGGTCACCTGAACCCTTAGGAGGTGTGTTAGTCTGGGTTGACTAGAGAAACAAATTCATAGACACTCATATGTGCATAAGAAAGAACTTTATACATAATAGTAATTTTATATTGAGAAAACATCCCAGCCCAGTCCAGATCCAGTCCATAAGTCTGATATTAGCCCATATGTCCGATACTAGTCCACGATTCCTCTTCAGCCTCATGCAACACATGCACTGATGCCGAATGCAGGAAGATCACAGGCTGGTGGATGGAAAGTCTTGTAGATCCAGTGGTGCTGGAGGCATCTCAATGCTGACGCGGGTCAGTGTCTCAACAGCAGTAAGGGAATTCAGACAGCGAGCATGTCCCACTTCCAGGGAGGAAGAAGTTCCCAGAATCCTCAGGAGAAGGCCATGCCCATAGAAAGGCATGATTGGCTATGACTTGATTGACAGGCTAGACTTTACTCCTTTGTTCAAGTTGACAGGAGATTATGTAACTGCCACAGGAGGATAATCTGAGGGATTTCTAGGCCCTCAAAAAAACAAACTTACTGCCATCGAGTCAATGCCAACTCATAAGGACAGGGCAGACTAGGACTGTGCCGACTATAAGACAGGGTAGAACTGCCCCTGTGACTTTCCCAAACTGTGACTCTTTACAGGAGTAGAAAGTATCATCCTTCTCCTAAGGAGTGCCTTGTGGTTTCGAACAGCCGACCTTGCCTTTAGCAGCCCAACATGGAACCATTACACCACCTGCAGTAGCACAATTTTATTTACTACTAAATTATTAGAGTGCTTTCAAATGATAAATCAAAAAACAAATTCAGTGTCATCCAGTCCATACTGATTTATAGCGACCCCACCCCCATGGGTTTCTGAGACTGTAACTGTTTACAGGTGTAGAAAGCCCATTCGTTCTCCCTTGATGCTGCTGGTGGTTTCGAATTGCTGACCATGCAGATCTCAGCCCAACATATAACCCTATACCACCAGGGCTCCTTTCAATTGAAGAAATCCCTGTTTCAATATTCACTTTTTCAGATCAAGAATACTTTAAACTCTGAAAGTTTTTATTGGTGCATATTCTTGAACAAATCTGTGTTAATATAAATTAAATATTGATATGTGCATCTTCCCAAATTATTCCCAAAGCACAAATGATGCTTCTCTCTAAAGGAGACACTTTTGTATAGATGACGGATTAGCATTGCCATCATTGAGCCCTGTTTGCTTAGAATAGATTTTATTTCACCCTGCCACTTTTTTCTTCTGGAATACTGCATTTAAATGACCCTTCCTTTTGCTCCTGGGATACATACAACCTAGAAGTAATTACAAACTAATCTCATCATTTAAAAAAAAAAGGTTACGTTGATATGATGCCCATTAGTTTCCTCAATTACTCGAGATGTTGTAAATGTTAAAGTTTCAGATATACTCTTATTTGGCTTCTAGTTTAAAAAAAGGCATAACTTATTAAATAATCTTCATCGAGGCATAAAATTAGCTCTACAAAAGCTCTCATTTGACGGGACTCTGGCCTGAAGTCTTTTTCAGGAGTAAAGCCAAAAGGAGTCTGACTGGTTTTCCTTCCCCACCTTTCATGAGTGGATGCCTCCACTACTAATAACATCACATGGACCACAGATACAGGGGACTTCAAGAAGTTCATGGAGAAATGGAACTAAGAGATATGGGATTTTTCCCTGATGTTTTTAAAAGCTTCTCCCAGTAGCGTCCGTATTGGCTTGTAGAGAAATGAATACGCTTCACCACAGTAATGTTTTACCAATTCTTTCTGATTTCTTACCATCTTCCTGCCAGTGTCTTGAAGCAAAGCCCCACCCCCAGCAGTTTACTCCGCCTTTGCTTTGCATGGAAATAACTTGGCTTACATAAACTGTGTGTGTGTCCCCGTGTGACTGTCTCCGATTTGGGTTGCCATGCATTATATTTTAACTTTGGACTCACGTATAAGTTTAGTCACGATGGTTGTTTTCATTGTTCTTTCTTTCCTTCCCTCCTTGGTCTGTCCTTTCTGGGTGTGAGCAAGGAGGTTGCTCCAGGCAAGGCCCACACCTCTCAGCACCAGACTCTTTCGTTGTCAGGTGTGAATTTCCCTTAGATGAAGGCCAGTCAGTGCAAGCCGCTGACCAGACACCCTTCCTTTCATTCTCCCACGTATTGGTGGCTCTCAGGTGCTGCGCTCCCAATTGTGTACAACTGAAACGTGGATGTCCATCGTAAGAAAGGATGCTGTCACGTTGCTGCCACTGGCTTTCTCCTAGAGGAAATTGACTCTCTGCAATTTCTAATGCTCTCTTTCCTTTTTTTCCCCATATTTTCTTTTAGTTTTATGTTTTTGAACATTGATACGTAACATCTTAACAATCTTGAGATATCTGTGTAATTTCACTGCGTTCTTTCGTTGTTTTGATTTGTGGTGTTTTCTGGCATGCATGTGGGATCTGGACTATTTGTTAAGAGCTTTGTTGTACGTGTGGATGTGCTCCAGTGAGAAAATTAAGCAAGTTATTTCCTGCTCATTTTTCCTTCTCAGTTTATTTTTTATTTCCCATTAGCCTTGCTTTGCTCTTGTACCCCGAGACCCTGCGGATCCACCATTCCCAGCCCATTTTGTTGCCCCTCCCACCACGGCAGGAAAAAGACTGTCATTTCAGTCCTGATTACATTTGCCAATATCCTTTTTTGATCTCCGTTTTACTTTCAATGTTTTTACATCCACATCAAAGATGATGAGACAGAATCTACAGAAACATCTGTCCTGAAAAGTCACCTGGTAAATGAAGTTCCTGTCCTAGCAAGCCCGGATTTGCTCTCTGAAGTTTCTGAGATGAAACAAGATTTGATCAAAATGACCGCCATCTTGACCACTGATGTGTCTGATAAGACAGGCTCTATGAAGGTGAAGGAGCTGGTCAAGGCCACGGAGGAGGAGCCAGGAGAGCCTTTTGAAATCGTTGAAAGAGTTAAAGAGGACCTAGAGAAAGTCGATGCGATCCTGAGAAGTGGGACCTGCGCAGGGGAGGAAGGCAGTGGGCAGAGGTCCGAGTCAGGGAGGGGGCTGGTGGAGGAGGAATGGGTGATTGTCAGTGAGGAAGAAATAGAAGAGGCTAAGCAAAAGGCACCGTTAGAAGTTCATGAATATCCATGTGTAGAAATTAGATTAGGCAAAGAGGCCAAAGTTAAAGCAGAGAAAGACTCAACTGGGTTAGTGAATTATCTTCTCAATGACCTCAGTTCACATGCAAATCACCACAAAGCGCCACCTCAGACAGTCCCAGCTGTGCCCGGGGAGAGGAGGAAGGCTCCCTCCTTGACTGTTAGCAAAAGCCCCGCAAATGAGGGGAAAGGGGCCCCCCCAGCAGATGCAGAGAGCAAGCAGGAACCACACAAACCAAGCCTGGGGATCAAGAAGCCCCTGAGAAGGAAGTTAAAAGAAAAACAGAAACAGAAAGAGGAAAGTTTACAAGCTGGTGCAGATAAAACCCAACTTAAAAAAGGAAGTTCAGAAGAATCATTAGATGAAGACCCAGGTTTAGCCCCAGGATCTCTTCCCACTACTAAGGCCACATCTCCTTTGGTAGAAGAAACTCCCATAGGCTCCATAAAGGACAAGGTCAAGGCCCTTCAGAAGCGAGTGGAGGATGAACAGAAAGGTCGAAGCAAGTTGCCCATCAGAGTCAAAGGCAAAGAGGATGTACCAAAAAAGACCACCCACCGGGGGCACCCAGCTGCATCCCCCCCTCTGAAGCCTGCATCGATATCTCCCTCCTCCAAGACAGAAAGGCACACTTCGCTTTCCACTGCTGCAAAAACTGAAAAGCATCCTCCTGTGTCATCATCAGGGAAAACAGACAGACACTCACCTGTGTCCCCCTCTGCAAAAACTGAAAGACATCCACCCACATCTTCCTCAAGTAAAACCGAGAAACACTCCCCTGGCTCACCTTCTACAAAAGCCGAAAGACACTCCCCAGGGTCACCCTCTACAAAAATAGAGAGACACCCACCTATGCCACCCGCAGCAGGCAAGACAGACAAACGTCCTCCAGCATCACCCTCTGGGAGAACAGACAGACATCCACCAGTCTCACCGGGTAGAACCGAGAAAAGACTGCCTGTGTCTCCCTCAGGAAGGACGGAAAAACACCTGCCTGCTTCAGCATCTGGGAAAGCCGACAAGCACCTGCCTGTCTCCCCTTCAGGTAAGACCGACAAGCAGCCACCTGTCTCTCCCACCTCAAAAACAGAAAGAATTGAAGAGACCATGTCTGTCCGGGAACTGATGAAAGCCTTCCAGTCAGGTCAGGACCCATCTAAACATAAGACTGGACTCTTTGAGCACAAATCAGCAAAACAAAAGCTTCTACAAGAAAAAGGCAAAGTTCGTGTGGAAAAGGAAAAGGGCCAGATAATAACCCAGAGGGAAATCCAGAGAACCGAGACTCAGACAATCAAACGTGGCCAGCGATTCTCCATGATGGGAACTGCGGAGTCCAAGCGAGGGGTTCGTACTTCCTCTCTCGGGCCTAAGAAGGAAGATGTCGTTGTGGAAAAGGAGAAAGTGTTCAGCCCCAAAACACCAGAGCCTGTTCCGTCAGCACCCCAAGAAGAAAGCCATAAAGAAAGCGAGGTCCCCAAAGAGAAGATGGCTGACGAACAAGGAGAAATGGAGCTTCAGATCAGCCCTGACCGGAAAACCTCCACTGATTTTTCTGCTGTCATTAAGCAAGAGTTGGAAGACAATGACAAATACCAACAATTCTGCCTGAATGAAGAGACTGAAAAGGCCCCGCTTCACTTAGACCAAGTACTCACTAGCCCTTTCAACACAACATTCCCGCTAGATTATATGAAAGATGAATTCCTCCCTGCCCTCTCCTTACAGAGCCAAGTTTTAGACGGCACTTCGGAAAGCCTGAAGCAAGAAGGGATAGCAAATTCCCCATGTGGCAGCCTGATGGAAGGGACCCCTCAGGTTAGTTCAGAAGAAAGTTATAAGCATGAGGGCCTGGCAGAGACTCCCGAGACAAGCCCAGAAAGCCTTTCTTTCTCACCAAAGAAAAGTGATCAACCAATGGGGGACACGAAGGAAACTACCAAGTTAGAAACACCGACAGCCACTCATTCCGGAAAAGAAGCTCCCACCACCAAAGACATCAGGGATGGCTCTGAAGAGCAACGGGCCGCAGTCCCTGAGAGCACAGATCTCTCGGTCGATTGTGCTCAAACGGAGACCCCCTTAGGCCCTCCCAAAGACACAAGTCCCCAACAGGATGATTTCCCCGGCAGGGGGAGTGTATCCTCAGCAGAAGAGACCTCCAAAGGATTGATTGAGCAAGCAGCATCCTGGGATGAAGGTCAATTTACAAGTGGTAGGATAGATGAAGGTCACCTCACAAGTGGTGGTACAGCCCATACAACACACACTGATATCGAGGCTCAGGAGCCCACATGTGCTGCACCCTCAGAGGAGACCAGGGCTCCAGCGCTGCCCCAGGCTTCTATGAAATCAGACTCAGGGACAGAATGGAAGCCACAGGGAGGGACTCGCAGTCCTCAAGGGTTAGAACTTGCACTTCCTAGCCGGGACAGCGAAGTTCTCAGCCCTATGGCTGATGAATCATTAGCAGTCAGCCACAAAGACTCACTGGAAGCCAGCCCCGTGCTGGAAGATAATTCTTCACACAAGACTCCCGATTCTCTGGAACCAAGTCCTCTGAAAGAATCCCCTTGCCGTGACTCTCTGGAAAGCAGCCCTGTTGAACCAAAGACGAAGGCTGGCATTTTCCCAAGCCACTTTCCTCTTCCCGCAGCGAGCACCAAAGCAGAGCTTGTGACGGAGGTGGCCTCCATGCGAGCCCGGCTGCTCCGAGACCCTGACGGCAGTGCTGAAGATGACAGCCTGGAGCAAGCATCCCTGATGGAGAGCTCGGGGAAGAGCCCCCTTTCTCCCGATACACCCAGCTCGGAAGAAATTAGCTACGAGGTCACACCCAAAGCCACAGATGCAAATACACCCAAGCCAGCAGTGATTCAAGAATGTGCAGAGGAGGATGAGTCCGAAAATGGGGAGAAGAAGAAGTTCACACCCGAAGAGGAAATGTTTAAAATGGTAACCAAAATCAAAATGTTTGATGAACTTGAACAGGAAGCAAAGCACAAAAGGGACTGTAAGAAAGAACCCAGGCAAGAAGAATCTTCGTCCTCTGATCCAGACGCTGACTGTTTGGCAGACCTGGAAGAACCAATGCACACGGATAATGGGGGGGATGGAACTGATGTCCCTGTGGTAGTGACCTCAGAGAGCCGGAAGGCTTCCTCTTCCTCTGAAAGTGAACCTGAGCTGACCCAGCTGAAAAAGGGTGTGGACTCAGGTCTATTAGCAGAACCAGTTATTCGAGTACAGCCTCCTTCACCACTTCCGTCTAGTATGGATTCTAATTCCAGTCCTGAAGAAGTACAATTCCAGCCCATAGTTTCCAAACAATACACTTTCAAGATGAGCGAAGAGATTCCAGAGGAGTCAGGTAAATTGGCGGAAGAAAAAGACTATGAATCCCCTTTGCCTGAAGACGGCCCTGGTGTTTCCGCGGATGGTGCAGATACGGCTTATGATGATCTAAACAGACACAGTGATCAGTCTAGGATCTGCGATGGCCATGGCTGTGAGGCCGTCCAGAGTTCACCTAGCGAGGATGCTGACGCGCAGCTGCTCGGCCAGGACGATTCCGCAGCCCTTGAAGACAGTCACAAAATAGACACGGAAGATGAAGAGCTGGACGGCTCGAAGGTCGAGTCCCTACGAGTCGAATGCTCCAGCGAAAGCTCTTCGTCGTCTCTGTCCTCTCTGACTCACGGTCCGCTTCCTGAAGGAAAAGAACTGGATGAGGAGGTATCCGCCACTTCTTCTGCCATAAAAATTGAGGTCTCAACCAACGACCGCACTTTTGAGACAACAGATGGCTCTACGGAAGGGTCTTCCCCTACTACTCAAAGCGTTCACTTCTCCATGGAGGGTCCAGTCACGGACCCCGCTGACATGGATGGAATCGATGACCCTCAAATCACAAGCCCTTATGAAAATGTTCCTTCTCAACCCTTTTTCTCAAGTGCAGACAGCAGAACCCACACGGACGTGAGCCATACCACAGACCCGCACTCTTCTGAGGTCTATTCCGTCCCCATCACTTCCCCTGCGGAAAGCGCAGTCAGGAGAAGCCCCTCTAGGGAAGCTATTTCAAGCCAGCGATCTACTTTGGAGAGCCAGGACATGGAAATAGACTCGGAACAAGAAAGGTCTGTGTGGGGAGTACAATCAGCTCACCCTGCTTCCCCCTTCGCACCCGCTTTGCCAAATGCTTCACCCCAGATAAGCAAAGTCATTATCACCAAAACCGATGTGGACGCTGATTCCTGGAGTGAAATCCGTGAAGATGATGAAGCCTTTGAGGCTCGAGTCAAAGAAGAAGAACAAAAGATCTTTGGTTTGATGGTGGACAGACAATCACAGGGCACCACCCCGGACACGACTCCCGCTCGGACCCCAACTGAAGAAGGCACACCAACAAGTGAGCAAAATCCATTTCTCTTCCAGGAAGGGAAGCTGTTTGAGATGACCCGAAGCGGGGCCATTGACATGACCAAAAGGTCCTATGGGGATGAGAGTTTCCACTTTTTCCAAATCGGACAGGAATCCAGGGAAGAGATCCTCTCTGCAGACGTAAAAGAAGGGGCGCCTCAGGGTGAGCCCCCACAGCTGGGGCCATCAGCCGAGCCCCAAGCACTTTCCGAATTAAAAGAAACAGATGATGATGAAGCTAGCTTATTTCCGACTGACGTGAGTGAAGAAGTAGATGCAATACCTGCCCATGATGCTCAAGGTAACTCCCAAAGAGGGATGCCAGCCTCTGTTGAAACATCTGCACGAGAGACCACTTCTTCAGGGGCCAAGGCTCTCCCCGCCATGCAAGCGAGTGACCCACCTCCTGTGTCCAGTCTGGAGCAGACATCTGACCCGGATTCCTCTGCACCAACAGTACCAGTTCAGTTAGATTTTTCCACAGTGACCAGATCTGTCTACCCAGACCGAGATGATGAGTCTCCCGATTCTTCCCCAGAGGAACAAAAATCCGTGATCGAAATCCCTACTGCACCCATGGAGAATGTGCCTTCTACTGAAAACAAATCCAAAATACCTGTAAGGACTATGCCTGCTCCAACACCAGCAGCCCCATCTGCAGAGAGCAAGGAGTCCCTCTCTGAAGATGTCCTGCCCAGAGTGGACGATGAAAGTAAGGAGGAGGGAACAAAACCAAAGTCCAAAATCCCAGTCAAAGCCCCCAGCCAAAAAGCCGAGCAGCAGCTTCCACCTGTAGACCCCTCTCTCCTCAAGCCAGAGGCTCCGCAGGGAATGGACATGACCATCAGAGTCCCTGAGAGCAGGAGCCAATCAGAATCAGATGCTGGTCTTTTGGGCTCAGAAACCAAATCTCCAGAAAACACTAGGAGTTACACTGAGGCAGACACAGAGACCAGAGAGAAGGCCAGGGAGCTTGAGTTAGAATCAGAAGAAGGGGCCATAAGACCAAAGGTCTTTTCCTCTCGATTGCCAGTGAAGAGCAGAAACACCGAGTCTTCCTGCAGAGGGGTCGTGAGCCCCACCAAAGAAAGTAAGGAGCATTTCTTTGACCTTTACAGAAACTCCATAGAATTTTTTGAGGAGATTAGTGATGAGGCTTCCAAATTAGTGGATAGACTGACCCAGTCAGAGAGGGAGCAGGAATTAGTTTCCGATGATGAGAGCAGTAGTGCCCTGGAAGTGTCAGTCATTGAAAATCTGCCACCTGTTGAGACCGAACACTCAGTTCCCGAGGACATCTTTGACACAAGGCCCATTTGGGATGAGTCCATTGAGACTCTGATTGAACGCATCCCTGATGAAAATGGCCATGACCATGTTGAAGGTATTTGCCAGCCACCGGGATTCCCTGTGCTACGCATGTCATAAAATTGATATCGTTTTTTTGGGTCTTTTTTTTTGGTTTGTTTCATTTGGTACTTTGTGTCTCATTTCCTTTAAGCTTTCCGTGGTGGTAAATGTGTTTGTGTAAGCCTTTTATGTTTTGTGCTTTCTTTGTATACTGTTGTCTATGAAAACAATCTCAAGATTGAGTAATGAGAATGCTTATGGAACACATAAACATGATCAACCGGCAACGGTGGGTTTTTTGCCTTTTTCTAGGCCCTGCACGTCAGGCCATGCAAGCTTTGAATTGTGTTGTTCTGATCTCCTGGCATCGCCTCGGATTCAGCACTTTGGTTTACCCCCATGAGTGCATTGACATTCTTTATAAGATGAGGAGTCATCTTCCGGCTTCTGTGAACCTTAATTTGTATTTACAGTTTTGTAATCACTCGGAAGCCATTTGCTTGAGAAGATTTCACCTGTCAAATTCCAGGGGCGGAATTTGGATCTGTTTTTTTATTCAGAAAGGTTGGATTTCCGATGCCATTGGTAAATCCTTTAAGCAAGCAAACGGAAGGTAAAAAGTATATATATGTTGTTCATTTACGTGGTCGATGAAGGAATGGAGACTTCCCATTGGATGCCACAGACAACACAAACTCAAGCTTTGCACGTTTTCAGTTGACGGTAAAGGGATGGCTCCCCTTGGGGTTCTAGAAAGAAAACCATCGCTGGCTTTGAGAAGTAGTCTCTGATCTTCCAGTTTCTCTCCAATGAAGACTATTACTCAATTTCATTTATTAAAACAAAAAAATTGCATCACGCTGTGATAAAAAATGCTGCCCATCAGGTAATGGGGGCTGGAAAATGATAATCTTTTGAAGCAAATAATAGTCTTTCAAGCACGTGGAAACTATACCCCAAATGCATAGATAGCTGGACACTAATACAATGCACACATACAAAATATGAGGAGGCTTTAAAAACTCCATGGAAAAAAATTCCATTATCTTTTAATTCCATTTTTTCCCCATGGACTTTCCACGCCTTTTCACACACATGCTGTTATCTTCCCTCCCCTCAAGGCTACTGGGATCAGGGCAAATGTCTCTGGCCACACTGCATTAGCCTTCTGGGGGTTTTGAGGCTGTAAATCTTTAGTGGAGCAGAAAGCCTGGTTCTCCCACTCAATAAGACTTGGGTGGTTTTAATCGACCCTGCTCAAGGTCTGCAATGAATATTGGAGGTGTTTTCATTCAAATTTGTCCTGGAATTGATCTATACCGCCATAGGTAATAATAATGGACCTTCATAAAAAAGCCAATATTCATTCTGAAAACTTAAGAAGCGTGTTGTAAGATTACTAGGAATCCACAACTTATATTATGGTCAGTGATTACAACAGATAATCCCCAAAAAAATTTTTTTAAAACCCACTTGTTTTCATTGAGTTGATTCTGACTCATACTAGTCTTGATTAAAGAGATATGGAAGCGATGGTTTTCATGATTCATTTTAGGTTTTTTCCCCATCCCATCTCAGAAATTAGGCCAACACATCACTGAATATGAACTGAAAAGTAAGAGCTAATTTGTGCTACTATGAAACACTTGGACAAGTGACTTTGTTGCTTGGAATCAGTCAGTACTGTGACTCCTCTCCTGTCATACACAACCTTTGGCCATTCTCTTTCTGACCTTCTATAGATCCACAGGATGAGCAGGAACAGATCGAGGAAAGGCTGGCTTATATTGCTGATCACCTTGGCTTCAGCTGGACAGGTAAAATGAATATGACCCATTTTTCTAATAAAACTGTTTGGTTTAAATGATATAGTTGTATCAACTGAATATTATTAAAAATGAAAAAGGTGGATTTCCCCCCCTCTTTGTCTGGAGAAGATGCACCAAATTGTGAAACAATTAGTAAAGTAAGAATTAGAAAATTCAGACTCTGTATTGTGTGTGGCCCAAGGCTAGTGTGTTAGTCTGGGCTGACTAGAGAAACAAATTCAGACACTAGTATGTATATATAAGAAAGAGCTTTATATACAATGGCAATTGAATATTGATAAAACATCCCAGTCCAATCCAGATCAAGTCTATAAGTCCAATATTAGCCCATATGTCCGATACCAGTCTATAGGTTCCTCTTCAGAGTCACACAACACAGCAATAACACTGCAGGAAGATCACAAGCCAGTGGGTGGAAAGTCTTGTGGATCCAGTGGCAGTAGAAGCATCTTAGTGCTGACGCACATCTCTGTGTAGCTCCTTCAACTCCAAGGCTCTGGCTCCATCAGTGTGGCTCGTTGTCAGTAATGTCTTCAAGGGATGAGCGTGTGTCCAGCTGCCAGCAAGCTATTTATCTCCTTAGCACCTCCAAATGAGGTCATCAAGCTGCGACCTGATTGACAGGCTAACCTCTACCCCTTCACTCTTAAGTCTCAAATTGACAACAGATTATGTAAGTAGCACAGCTAGTATTTCAATCTCTCTGGAATTTGGAATAATAGCACTTTAGATATGGAGATTTTGAGAAGACACCATCACCTTTTGACAGTTACATGTATCAAAACTTTGGGGATATAATTATGTTTCACAACTATCTTTAATAAAATGTTCAAGAAAGGTGATTATATTTGACATTTCATTAGGACTTCTTATTTGGATTCCTAATATCAGATATCTTCATAAAGAATGTTAAATATCTTTTGCTGACTGTTGAAACATATAATAATGAGATGCTTCACTACTTTTTGAAGAAACCAGAATGTTACTTAAAGAGGGACTCTAAAATATGCCCCAGATTTTATTCAAGTAAAATAAATTATTGACTTAATAGGGCTTATTTATAAATCATGAATTATAGATCTTAAAAGATATGCTTCATTATATCTTATTTGTGATTTAACACATTAAAATAGGTTTGCCAATTTGGCTTCCTTTATGTTACTTACAGCTATTTAGTTGAGGCAAACAATATGAGGGGAATAAATACTCTCTTCAGTTTCTAAAAGATTTTGGTGATCAATAGGGGCTGTTTAATATATCTACAGTATGGATGTACTATTGACTTTATTGATAGCCTTTATTAATGGATATTTAGATTGTTTCTGTTATCAAAAAGAAATATACTTATCCAGTATTATGGTTTTGTGAGTATATATATATATATTTATATATAGAGAGAGAGAGTATGGATGTACTATTAATTTTATTGATAGCCTTTATTAATGGATATTTAGATTGTTTCTGTTATCAAAAAGAAATATACTTATCCAGTACTATGGTTTTGTGAGTATATATATATATATACACACACACACATATATTACATATATATACTCACAAAATATAGGCCATATTCTTAGAAGCAGAATTTCTGAGTTAAAGAATTTTTTTTCCATTTTGAAAGGTACGAACGAATTGAACTGCAAAAGATCCTGTCATATCTACATACAACACAGTACATGCTACATAGACACAGTGTGTCAGCATTCGTGTAGAATTCTAATGGAAACAGAAAAGACAGAACGCTGTGGCTTCTTCCCAAGTCAGTCAGTGCTTCCCTAATCCTTTTGTTCATGTGACAGTAAGTCAGATAAAGAAAGAGTTTCTCCACCCACTGCGGTTGTATCCACTAGTTTCCCAAGAACTCAGAATCAGGCCAATTTAAATCATCATTAAAAGTGAGAACTTGCGGAGGCTCCTCGTGGAGCGTCTCAGCTAGGGCAACTGGGACATGGCCACCATTGATGGCCCCGCACAAGAAACCTACCCCTGGAGTCCTGTATGTGGGTCACATACCTCGAGGCCTTTTCCAACCCCAGCTCAAGGCTTATTTCCCCCAGTGTGGGGCTGTTTCAAGACGCAGATTGTCCAGAAGTGAGAAGACTGGGAATAACGAAGGCTGTGCTTCTATGGCGTTTGAGTCAGATGATGTTGCCAAGATAGTTGCTGAAACAATGAACAACTACCTTTTTGGTGAAAGACTTTCAAAGTGTGATTTATGCCACCTGAAAAAGTACATGAAGAACTTTGCGAAGACTGGGATATTCGGCTTTCAATGCCATCTCATCCAGCAGTGAAACGGTATAATAAGAAATGAACACTATAGGACAAGCTACAGATGGAGAAGCGATTTAAAAACAAAGACAAATTGCTCAGGAAGAAGCTGTCTAAAAAAAAGGATAGTTGATAGTTTTCCTCTATTGGTTTTACCAAAAAAGAAAAACTGAAGTGCTTCAAACAGTGATCTTCAGAACTTTATGACTAGCCAGGGCTCCACCCCAGTTTGTACACCATCCTATTTGGAAAGGCAAAAGTCTGAAGTGGCTGAATTGAATGATGATGAAGATCATGAAATCATTCTCAAACAGCCCGCAGTTGATGTCAAAGAAGAAATTCAAGAGACTCAACCACCACCTTACACATTCAGGGGCAAAAAGAAGACGAAAAAGCAAATAGTGACTCTGAATGCATATAATATAGCTTTTGAAAAATGGGCAATTTTGATATAGGTCTGGGTGCAATAAGATGCAGATATTGGCACAATTTGTGAAGGACAAGGACCAGGGCCAGGGCAAATGCAGCGGATGACTCTCTTCACCACCCCTTCCTGAAATACAGGGCTCTGGCCATGGCCTGTTCATGCCGCCTCTTCAGCCTGCTCATTTTGTTTTGTCTTCATATGTCATAGTTCTCTGTCATTTATATTCAAACAGTGACCAGCAAATAAACCTCCTACTATCATTAAAAAAAAAAGTGAGAAATTGTCTATATCCAGACATTATCAATATCAGTTTTCTATTACCTTTCATCTCGGACTATGAATATATGCTAATCGTGATACAGTCTTTTGCATTGTGGAATAAGTCTGCTTGAATATAATCTTCTTGAATTATACTTAATCTATAATTATACTTACTCCGTCTGAATTATAATTATCCATCACCATACATTTTCTACTATCGTAGTGATTGATTCTATTCTCTCTTTTAAGCCAATACACAATAATCAATGCTCAGAGAAAAAAAAGCATATTTGAATCACTTTCAAGAAGCATGAATAAAATAAAAAGAATTATATCACTCACAGCAATACAAAGAACATTTCTACAAAAACCACAAAACAAGGTTTAGAGAATTAAACCTTGACGTTCATACATTTACAGAATGCTGATTTCTCTTCTAGAATTAGCAAGAGAACTAGATTTCACTGAGGAACAAATTCATCAAATTCGAATTGAGAACCCCAACTCCCTCCAAGACCAGAGTCATGCCCTGCTCCAGTACTGGCTAGAAAGGCACGGGAAGCACGCCACAGGTGGGTGGAAACAGTAAGTCACAGCGCTAGACAAAGTGGGAATGTCTTGCTTACTCACCACATTGTTGCAGTCAGCAACATAGTACACAAACGGCATCATTCTGGAGCGCAGCTCCAACAGAGGAAAAAAGCTCTCGCCATTTCTAAATGATGCCTGTGCATGGGGAACAGAAATCCAACAAGAGTATTATTAAAGTCCTAGAATTTTCTAAATCTGATAGTGAACGGAATTTCTTTAATTGGCTTGTGGATAGATGATTGCTTTCAGCTTTTATTTCCAGTACCCCTAAGTAATCTAAGTGGGGGGAAAATTCAAAGAGATAGTCATATCATGAGTGAAAAGTCATCTACTGACCCCTTTAAATAAAATGGGCAGTGATGCAGACCAAGCTGACTTTTAATCTCTCTGTGGATTTCATCCTGAAAATCTATCTAACCAGACCAAGCTCTCTGCCCCTGAGTCAATGCAGACTCATAGTGACCCCATAAGACAGGGTAGAACTACCCCTTGTGGGTTTCCAAGATTATAACTCTTTGTGGGAGTAGAAAGCTGGTTTTTCTCCTGAGGGGCAGCTGGAGGTTTTGAACTACTGACCTTACAGTTAGCAGCCCAACAAGTTACCACTATGCCACCAGGGCTCCTTCAAAAGATCTACCTAATGGCCCCCCTTATCATGCCTTCTCTTTACAGTCTTCTAGGTAGGATTGCCAGGTTTAGCAAATAAAAATAAGGGGGAACCCAGTTAAAGTTGAATTTCAGGTATAAACAAAAGTGTTTCAAATATGAGTATAATCCCAAAGTGTATGTTTGATATAATTACAACATAAAAAAGTGTTTTCCTTGCTTGTTTATCTGGGAACTAAAATTTAGCTGGGTTTCCTGTGTGTTATCTGGTAACCCTACTTCTGGGTCACCCTTTCTGTTCATGTCGCTTTATTTCTCTTTGTGTTTATTTTGAACAAAGACATTTTATTAGAAACTGGTTGTTTTCTATACAAAATATCAAAGGTTTAGTAAGACATTTAAATGAGGAAACTATGTAAAGGTGTAGCTTTCACATATAATAAATGTTTGGTTTTTTCCTCTTAATATCCCAGATACCAATCTTATTGAATGTCTCACCAAGATCAACCGAATGGATATTGTTCATCTCATGGAGGCCAGCACAGAACCTCTGCAGGAGCGCATCAGCCATAGCTATGCAGAAATTGAGCAGACAATTGCACTGGATCATAGTGAAGGTCAACTTGTGTGTGGAGGGTGTGTGTGTGTGTGCACATGCGTGCATGCGTGCGTGCGTGCGTGCGTGCGTGTGAAGTTGATTCAAACAACTGGACGTAACTCTCTGCTTCTTAAAAATAGCTTTTGGAGGTTATGTTAGTCTGGGTAGACTAGAGAAACAAATCCATAGAAACTCATATGTGTATAAGAGAGAGTTTTATATAAAGGGTAATTGTACATTAAGAAAGCATCTCAACCCAGTCCAGTGCAACCCCATAAGTCCGATATTAACCCATATGTCCAATACCAATCTACAAAGTCCTCTTCAGACTCAGGAAACACATGCAATGATGCTGAATGCAGGACAATCACAGGCCAGTGGTAGAAAGTCTTTGGATGCAGTGGCGTTATAAGCATCTCAGTGCTGGCAGTGGTCTCCAGGCGGCTTCTCCAGTTTCCAGGGCACAGGGTCCATCAGCATACTGCCATGTGTTTTATCAATAGCCTTCATGGGATTGAGCAGAGAAAGAAGTGTCTCCCATTTCCAAGGAGGAAAATACAAGAGTTCCCAGAATTCTCAAGGGAAGGCCATGCCCACACAGGCCTCATTGGCTGTAATCTGATTGACAGACTAGACTCCACCCCTTCACTCTTAATCCTCTCAAGTCTCAACTTGACACCAGTTTATGTAACTAAAACAGAAGTCATACATTTTTTCCTCTCACTACGCACATCTTCCCAGTCCATGTTAAGGGCTGCTGCCACCACTAGCCATTCCTCGTTATTTCACCAGCCACATGGGTGATCCCCCCCAATGCCCTGTTCTCTCAGTATCTTGATTGCACCTCTGGTACCTGTATCTAGCTAGTTGTTTTTAATACTCACATCCTGTATCTTAATCTCACCAAATACATCCCTCCTGTCTCTTCTGTCTTACTGGTAGTGGGCTATCCTCTCATTTCTGAGATGGCTGATTTCATACCCAGTAGGAGGATAATCACAATTTACCCTGTCAGCCATCATTCACAGCTGACTCATGTAATCCAATCAGAATCTCCCTATACCTTTTATCCAGAACCATCAGGAAAATGAAGGTCGTTGGGTGGAACAAAGGCTATGACTAGAGGAGCCATATTCATGAATTCACTGCATTATAGCTGCCTGACACATAGCCCACTAAGCCCAGTAAATATTTTGTAATATTTCCTAAAATATATATATCTGCAAAAATACAAGTTTCATGGGATCAGGAGCTTTTTCTATCTTGCTCACTGCTATATAATCGGCATCTAAACAGTGATTGCTACATAATTGATCTTAAATGCATTTCTGTTGAACGAATAAATGTTAGTTATGTTAGATTCCATTGAGTCAGTTCTGACACACAGCGTCCCTATGCACAACAGAACGAAACACTGTCCGGTCCTGTCCCATCCTCATAATTGTTCCTATGCATGAGCCCGTTGTTGCAACCACTGAGTCAGCCCCTCTCCCTGAGGGTCTTGTTTTACCAAGAACGAAATCCTTTTCCAGGGACTAGCCTTTCCTGATAAGGGGTCTAAAGTACGAAAAGTCTCTCCATCCTTGCCTCTAACCAGTACTCTGTCTGCACATCTTCCAAGACTGATGTTTGCGTCCTCGTGGCACTCCACGGTATTTTCAATATTCTTTGCCAACACCACAATTCAAACACACAGATTCAGGAATGGTAATCTGTTCATCACTACTCTGCTAAAAAATGTTTTTTAAAAAATGATTCCTCACGGCCCCGGGTCTTAAGGATAATTCCTTTGCATAGGATAAGAGACCCTTCATAAGACAGTGAGTGCATTGTGGCGAGCATTAATTGATACCTATCCAGCACGCAGTTTCTGACACATAGTAACTGCGTGATAGTTGTGATGATGACCTACTGTTATTCTAACTCTCCTTGCTCTTGCCACATGGATTCTCCTGGACTAGCTCAGTTGATCCTCCTTACCAGGTCTCTTTATAAGCTCAGACTCTGGGGTATTAGCCTAAATTTATAGACCGCACCACCTCGTTGGCATTGACTCAGCTGCCAGCCACAACTCTTAGTGAGTATGTACATACATAACATGTCTTTGTGAGGTCGTGTTTCATTTTCAGAATCCTGGATCTGTCTGAGCTTATTATGGTGGCTCTTGAGCTAATCTGGTTCACTGGGGGTTTCCCTAAATCTTGGTATCTCTCCACCTATGGCCTCTTCTAATGCTTGGTCTTTTCTGGTAACGTGTCTAAGTAAGAGTGCCAAAGTCTCACCATCCTCCCTTCTAATGAACATTCAGGTTCTGCTGATTTTAAAGCAGGTTTGCCTGTTTTCCTGAAAGTCCGCAGTATAGTTTATACTCTGTGCCAACTCCATAATTTGAGGCACAGACCTTTCTTCCATCTTCAGTTGTCACTAGCCCGTTTTTGCACACATTCAGGTGAGTGACAAGATGGTAGCTTAGGTCTAGCACACATCTGTGTTTTCAATCCTGAGTCTAAACCTGAGCTCGTGACTCCCCTAGCCGTTGACTGGAACTTGTCCCTCTGTCATGCTCTATTTTAATTGACTTACTTTGCTGGGCCCCCCAGATAGTAAACATCTTGAAAGCAGAGACAGTATCTTGTTCACCATTATAAACCAGGGGCCTATGGACAGGACATGGCCCGTAGTAGTTCATTAATAAATACCCGCTTAATATAAAAGTAGCTTCAAAGAAGTACATGATTTCAATTGTTCTCCCCTGTAGGATTCTCGGTACTGCAGGAGGAGCTGTGCACAGGACAGCAGAGACAGAAAGAGGAGTGTCGTGTATCTAAAGGAAGCGAGTCCTGTGATCAGCCCCCTATTGTCTCCGAGGAGGACATCTCTGTCGGTTATTCCATGTCTCAGGATTGCCTCCTCAAAACTGAGGGGGGCACTTCGGCTGCAGAGGTCTTACCCCCAACGGACAAAGAGCAGGTTCAACGGGATTTCTCAGGGAAAATGCAAGACCTGAACGAGGAGCCATCTCTTGAACATCAGCAGGAATACTTGTGAGTGTCCAAAACCAAAACCAAACCTTGGCAAAGGCAATGGTGAAGAAACAAGCCAGAGCGCCTAGGGCATTAGGTACAGACAAGCACAAATAGTTTTCCCAGTCATTTTAAGAGACATCCGCCAAGAAACCGTGCCAGAGCTACAGAAAACAAGGCAAAACATTAAAAAACACGGTGTTGTTGGCACAGACGTGCCCGAACTAGTTTTCAGTTGGATGACCTTGGGCCCTATGCCTTTGCCCCTTTCTTTTTCTCACTTTTATCTTGTTGCTGTTGAGAATGTACACAGCAAGGCATGCACCAAGGCCAAGCCTTTTCTGTCTATAGCTCAGCAGCGTGGATGACGTTCTCGAATGTGCAATCCTTCTCCCCTCCTTTCTGTGTGTCCTTTCCCCTTTTGCACAATTTGATCCACCTCAGTAGTTCTTCCAAGAGCCTCGCACTCAAGGCAGAACTTTGCTTTATTTGATTAGTCTAAGGTGGCTCAGAGGATACTTTAAAATTCAAGTTTAAAAGATTATCTCAAGGCAATTGTTTCAGGGACTAATCCACACCCTACCCCCGTGGCTTTATGAACTCCTTTGGGGCCAAGGGAATTTTACAGTTTTTTTTCTGTCTTTTCCCCCTTTCGGATCAGGATTCTCTAAGGAATCATTGATCAAAATTTTTCGTGATGGTAGGCAGGCACTGGCCAGTTCTGCCCTTGTGGGAAAGGAGCAGTTGTTCACGAAGGCCTTTAATCCCACAGGCATGTCCTGCACATGTTCTTCACTCTGCTTTCTCCTCTGCTGCCCCCGATGAATAGACAGCAACGCTTGTCCCTTGGAGGAGTGCTTTAAAGTCCTTGAGAACTCTTCAATGAACTAGGAGGTAGAATCACAGTACCAAGCATACTATTAGGCTCATTAACTGGAATATCTCATGAAATCACGACCCTGAACCTTTATACCAAGAACCAAATTCCATGAGGTGTTTGATTGTACACAATCAGTCTCAGAGGCTGCTCTTTTAAATATACCTATCACAACTTTTTTTTCCAATTCTCCTTTTTCCAGATGTTTAATTATTGACAGTAACTTGACAGCATTGATAATATGTTGTGTGACCCTAACCTTAATCAACGTGCTTTTTCTATCTCTCTTTGCTTCCCTTCCCACCGTACTTCCTGTGGTTTCTATGCATCTCCCTTTCCTTGTCTGTTTATAGAAGTAAGACCATACATTGCATGCCCTTTGTGATTGGCTTATTTGCTCCTCATGCCTTCTAGCTACAGCCACTCTGTAGCATGTACTGAGACTCCACTTCTCCTCCTGGCTGAGTAGTATTCCACGGAATATTTGTACCACATTTTTGTTTCAGTCCATTCATCTGTTAATGGGCATCTAGGTTGTTTGCATAGTTAGGTTATGCAAGTAGTGCTGCAGCGATATTGCTGAAAAAAGTCCCATTTTCAATCTCTGCTTTCAAGTCTTTAGGGTAGATAGCTAATTATTGGGTCAAATGGTAGTTCTCTTTTCAATTATTTTGAGTGACTGCCACAATATTTTATAATGGCTGTACTATTTTGCTTCCCCCTTAGCAGTGAATATGGATTCTAATTTTCCAGCATTCTTAGCAACATTTCTTATTTTGTTTGTCGCTGTTATGGTTAGTTGTTTGCCGGGGTACCTTTTGTTGGCTTAGATCTGCACTCCTCTGATGGATTCTGATGCTGAGCATCTTTTCACATATCTAGAAGCTGGTTGTGTATCCTCCTTAGTGAAATGTCTATTCCAATCTTTGCCCTTTTCTGACTGGGTTGTTTGTCTTTTTGTTGTTAACTTGTCAAAGTCTCATATATTATTTTATTTGATTCTTGCTGGATATAGAGTTTCCAAAGAGACTTTCCCAGTTGACAGCTTGTCTTTTCACTTTTTGGTAAAGCCTTTTGATGCACAAAAGTTTCAAAATTTGTGTGGGTTTATTTCTGGACTCTCAATTCTAACCCGTTGTGGTACATGCCAATTGTTCTACCAGTAAAGGCTGTTCTGACAGACGGGTACAATTTCAACTCAAGACATGTGAGCCGATGTTCTTATCTTTCGACCTTGTTTTACCCATTCAGGGTCTCTTGTCATTTTATATAAAGTCAAGGGTTGTTTTTCTATTTCTGTAAAGAAAGCTATTGAGATTTTGGTTGGGGTTTCATTGAATCTGTAGATCATGTTGAGCAGTATTGATCTATGAACAATATTAGGTCTTCTAATTCATGAACATGGGACATCTTCCAATTTATTTGTTTTCTTTCAACTCTCTTAGCAGCATATCCCAGTTTTCATTATATAAATCCTTCATGTTCCTGGTTAGATTTATTCCTAAGTATTTTATTCTCTACAAAGTTTTGCCCTGTGTCATGTGAATTGCCACTTCTAGACTTATGAATTGTGATTTTATATATATAATGTTACTATCACAGGGTCAAATGTCAAAAAACTGAAAGCATCGTTTCAACGGCAAAATTTCATATCAATAACACATTTATTACCAGTAAGATCACTGTGCCTCACTGCAGATATAGCAATTCTTGTGCCAAGACTGCTTTGGCTATGGGTAATTATGTATGGGTATAGAAACCTACTGGATAGGCTAACAAAGCTATGAGGTGGATTTAACTAAAATTATTAGTAAAGATTATTAAATTGAGGTGGGAGGGGTTGGGGTGAGAATAAAGAGATACCATCTAGAAAGCTTTGGGCTCAAGGGGACCGCAGACTACATTATAGCTCAAAACATAAGTAATAGGCTGAAATGTAAATAGGCTTAAAAGAAAAACAAGGTTGTTTAAATGGAACTGACTGTTGAGGAAAAGGACACAGGTTGGGTAAACATGTCTCTAGCCCTGAAACCGGAGAAGAGCATGCCATGTGACTCCGTTACAGTGTGCCCCTTGTTACCCAGGCCTGCAGTGCCGGCTTCACTGGAAGCCGAGAAGAAGATAGTGAAGAACGCAAAAAAAGGAAGGGGGGGGGGGATCAGAAGAGAAGGATGAGACTCTATTATTGACAGAGTAACAGGAAATGACACTAAATATACACACACACAAAGCAGAAACTCTGTATGATTTTGTAATTGGGAAAGAGTCTGAAGGGTTGTGTTGGAATAATTCCAGTCTGTATCAGTAGAAAAAGTCTGATGTCAATAGGCCCAGGTTAAGTTGTACAGCTTTCCCGAAGTATAAAAGTAGTTTTATACTTTTCCTTTTACAATGATAATAATGATACCAATTTGGATATGTATATATTGGTTTTTCTTGAATTCTTCCAAGTTTGGATTATTGCATTTAAATCTTACTATTTATGTGCCTTTTTATGTAAAAATTGGCCAAGCTTGAATAGTATCACCTTGCATTATCAAAGAGAAATTGAAATTACTACATGTTCACTTTGTGGAGATCCGAAACTTCATAGCACATTTTAAGATAATGGGTAGCTTTAGAATACATCCTTCCCTGACAATGCTAGTTCAGTCAGCTAGCTGCAACTCTATCCTGCATCTTACGCTATATATATTTTTTCACATATTATTTCTGGACCAAATGTACAAAACCTACTTTAAAAATGTTTTATGTTTATTGATATATAATTCACACATCATCCAATTCAGTGGTTTAAATATATTCAAAAGAGTTATACAATCAGCACCCAATGAACTTTAGAACATTTTCTTTGTTCTTGTACTTTTTATTATTAGCTCCCCACTTACTCCCAACCTTCCTTGCCATATAACCTCAATGACTATTAAATCAGTTACTGTCTGTATACATTCATCAATCCTGAATTTCACATAAAGAAAAACATACAAAACCCAAAAGCAAAACTAAGCAAAAAGAAAACAAAACACCAACAACAAAATAAAGGAAAACCTAAATTGAAAAGATAACAGAAAATAATGAAAGCAACAACAAATTTACAATGAGCCAAAAGAGAGAACAGAGCATAAGGTGTTAACTTTTAACTTAATGACATCTGCATCCGTTCACTTTTCAACGCGCCCTTGTGATAGCAAGGCGATGCACCTCCTTTACAAAAGCCTCTTTTCCTTGAAGTCCCATGGTGACAAGTTTGTAGATGGCCACCAATCAAAATATTCAGTTTTGATATTCCCAGGGGCCCTGCAAGGGACAGCCCTGGTGATCTACATCTATAAGCTTTTCTATGACACACCGAAGGTTATCAAGAATCAGAACTGATTCAGGGACAACGGGTTTTTAAATTTTTATTATATGGACTATGAAGTTGAGCGCCATTTCCCTTCCAATCTCTGTGCTTGATCACCAGCCAAATAAATGCATATCCTCTTGTGAAATAACCTGATGTTTCCATTTTAGCGTCACCACCCCAGGAACAGAAGTGTCAGAGACTCAAAAGGCTACAGCAGTATCTGCATCTGCCAACGAGGTACCTGAGGAAATGAGTTCCCCTCCTGAGGAGGAGAGGCCCTACCTCCGGACCCCGACATCCCGTGAATGGGCCAACTCTCCCATCGTACAAGAACCCGAAGAGTCGCCAGTGCAGAGAGAGAGCTCTCCACGAAGAACCAGCCTCGTGATAGTAGAATCTGCTGATGACCAGCCGCAAACCTTCGAAAGACTGAATGAAGATTTAGCTTTTCAAAAGGTAAACATCCTTGTCTCCGTTCCCAGGCCCACAAAGCTGACAAACCTCCCACCCATTGCCCTTTATCTGATTGCTTCTTTTATCACCTCACATCAACAAAATTTGCCAAAATCACTTCCACAGAGACCCTGTGAAAGTGCCAATCTGGAAGAAAAGGACTGCAGTTTCAGTTCTAGTGATTTGACTAGAAGCCCTCATTCTACCAGTAGAAGCCCCTTTCCTGAAATGCATAATGCAAATACTTTGATGAAGCAATATGTCTGATGTATTTTTTAAATTAATAAATTTAGGTAGGAAGAATGAACAGTGAGGAAGAAACTTAAAATCATCAAAGGGACCAGGCTTCCTGGTCAGACAGAAACTGATAGAACCCTTGAGACTAATGTGCGTGCTTGTGGAATGTAAACACGAATGATCTGTTTTGTAAAACTTCACCCTATCCACAATAAACAGTTAGTAATAATAAAAAAGAAGAATAGTAATAAGATTGAACAGTAGCAGGTAAGCCTGCCTTTTGTAGAAAGTGCTGGTGCCCCCCACTGTGAGTGGAGCTGACTGTCAGGGGGGGTGCATCTCTCAAAATGTGTTTCCTTCATTAGAGGATGGGTAATTTCAAGTTAGATTTATTTTACTTTTTCTATTCTCAAGCTGACTTCTAAGAACATTGTAAATAGGTGTATTGCTGTTTCTCACAGTCAAAATACCTGGTAATTTGGGAGAAAAGGGTGGCAATGTCTTAAGACATTAATGTAAATCATTATTTCGTGAAATGTGACCACTTGGAGATAAAAGGGAAGTTTGTCCCTCCTCAGACTTTCTGAGTGGGACTGACTGATCCTTGGGAAGAGGGAGAGAAGGCAAATGTGAGAATCTGCATTTCAATAACTCCCCAGATGACTCGAAAATACAATAAAGTCTGAGCATGCATTTTATCCAAGCTTAATTGAATGTCAACTACAGGGAATATTTTTTAATAACATCATTTAGAAATGTTTTACATCCCAACAGATTTTAGAGAATTATTTTGTCTTTGAATTAAAAGGAAAAAAAAGTTGAATAAAAGAATTGAGAACTTTAAGAAGAAAAAAAAGTACTATATCGAATGAAAGAACTACATTTATTTTTATTCACTATAAGAGTGACATCTACTCCTAAGATTTATCTAAAATCACAACTAAATTTAAGATATATCCAAGCAGATGGTGTCTGCATCCTGATTTTGGTAGTTCTCTTTAAAAAATGAATGTATTCCATAAAAGAAATTTTATTCTAAGTTAGACTTTACACAGGATTATTCATCTTACAACTTCTTGACTTACATGAGCAGTAATAAAAATGTTTCATATATTCCATCTTGTCTAAGCAGTTACTTCATCTCAAAGTTCACAGATAAAGAGAAATAGAGACTTGAAACAATTATCTTCATAATTCATGTATCTAATTTATTTAATGCATGTAAATATTTTTGATAGCTCATCTTATCTTTCAAAGGGCTTCTATGTACCCGTTCTGCTTATTCTCTATGAATAGCTCTTCTCTCGTGAGCTTACTGTTTAGACTCTTCACTCCTGACTCTAACTTTGCCATTTAATTGCAATCACTTCTTGCTGAACATCTCAAGCAGCAGATTCCTGAGTATTTCAGTTATAATTTGGTTTAGAACTGGTATGTTTTAATTTAGCAGAAAAGAATATAGAAAATAATTTTAGTATGCTAAAATATGTTGAGTAATGTTATTTGCTTGTTGTAAATACTATTTCATCAGGAAAGAGAAAAAAGAATCAGGCTATAGCTCCCAAAGACATGTGTTTTAATCACTTTATGTTCTTAGCCTCATCTTGAGCTTTATGTCAGACCCCACAAATCTTATTTGCTTGCACATCTCAATCTGTCTGCAAAGTGAGTCAAGTCTTCCTATCATACACAGCCATGTATGGGAGATAGGGAGATGAACCACTCACTAGATAACAGTGACAGGAGATTCTGAATCCAGCAGAAGTTCCTTCTGCAAACATGAAACACTCTGAGTTAGCAATTCCAAGGCTAAGCAGGAATGGCACTGCCTAGCCAGTGTTTATCGGGCTGTTTGCATTCAGGGGTTTTGTTTGTTTTGGGGGGGCTAAGTCCAAGAAATAACATGGGGAGCAGTTTGGTTCTGAAACTTGATTCTGGAACTTTATTTTCCATTATGGACTAAAGTACTATATTTTCTGAGACCAGTGCACACCAGTTTCAACTTGCTTGTGCCACCCCTGACTTGTCCTCCAAAGCCCAATGCCATTCAATTGATTCCAAGTCAGAGAGACCCTATAAGAAACCCATTTGGGTTTCTGAGCATTTACATGGTGGCGGGCAGAGACAGCCTCATCTTTCTCCTCCCGAGTGGCTGGCACGTGCCACAATTCCAAGCCCCGCAGAAGTTTGAGCCAAAGCGCAACCCGATGACCGCTCTGGTCCTTGGCCTGTGAAACCCAACAATGCTTCCGTGCTTCCTCCAGGAGCTCACGGAGCACTTAGGTGAGCTTGAGGCCAGCTCGGATGAGGAGGCGACAGTGACTACCAGGGTGGTCCGCCGCCGCGTGATTATCCAGGTACCAGGTGCCACCGTCCTGCACGGCTCGGCCAGCCCTATAACCCCGTCTGTAACCCTTCGTGCGTGCCCAGCCTGAAGCCGCCAGGGCCTGGCATGCGCCTAGGCTCGTGCATGGATTCAACAGCAGCACTGTAACTCTCCTAATTTCTGTTTGACAAGAAAGGCAATGGTAATGACATTCACAGCCTACCCCCAGGAAATAGTGAGTGAGCAAGATTTGGCTTCTTCAGTTCTGCCCACCTCACCTCTTGCTTGTCTTGGTTTTGTGCGTTTGTTTTGTTTTACATTTTACCTAACTTGTGTCAGATTCTCCTAAGCATGTTATTCTCCACCCCCGCCCCCCCTGCCCCCCCGTTTTTTCTTTCATTCAAATTACTGACCAGGATTACTGCATCTCAGCAAAGCTCTTCAACAGCACCTTTAATTCCCTCGAGTTCCTCCTGCCTAAGCCCTTAGGCCGCGAGCTCCTTCCAATGGGGGCCAGACCCTGAGTGACTCATTTCTCCCAACCTGTTTAGGGGGACGATATGCCTGACATTCCACCGGAAACGGTCACAGAAGAAGAATACACTGACGAGCATGGACACACCGTGGTGCGAAAGGTATCGTCCATTGTGTGCTCATTTGATTCATTGCCAACCTCCTGGTTGGGATGCACCCATGCCATGGTCCTGAAAAGCAAGCTCTATGAATGAAATCTATTGCAGGTTACTAGAAAAATCATTAGGCGCTACGTCTCCTCGGACGGCATTGAGAAAGAAGAGATCACAATGCAGGGAATGCCACCTGAACCAGTCCACATCGAGGAAGGGGATGGCTTTTCCAAAGTGGTCAAGCGTGTTGTACTAAAGAGTGACACCGAGCAGTCAGAGGTGAGACCGTCTCACGTTCTCCAGCACTCCGTGAAGGGAGGGGCTAGCTGTTCGTGCTCATGATCTCATGCCTTGTTTAGAAACCAACACAGAGAGATGTTATTCATTGTCTTTGTCTTCCCGTTTTCAGTGTACTCTGTAGATGACCACAGCAAACGTGCAAAATCAGACTATAAAAGGAAACAAATGTCCCATTTGTTGAACAAACAGTATGTTATTTAGAAACCAACCCCACATGTATCACTGGTCACCACGCTAGCTTCTGTAGATCATGGTGGGTAAATCTCTCTGATAGCAGGACCCAGAAACTCCTCGATTTATTGTGTCTTCTTCATTTTACTTCCCTCTTTTAGGGACATGTTTACTTATTTGATATAATTTGTGACCACCTTACAGTTTCGTATTTGCTCAGTTCCTCCAATTCTTATTAGTATAAATTTGAGCTTCTCCCCATATCTACTTCTGCAATTTCTCGTAGCTTTAAAGTTTCCTCTTCGGAAGGTTCACTGTGTCTTCATAAGAGCGAAGCACACCACAGGTTGCCAGGTTTTTAGACGACACAGTTTGTTCCTCATGAGAATTACTGATAAATGTCACTGACTTCCCTGAGTGGTCGATTTGCTGCTCACTATATAGATACCACCACTATATAGACTTCACCAAGTACTTATAGAGTACCTTTTTACCCATCTTTTCTTACATACTGCTTTCTAGGTCAGTATATATTACACTGTTGGTCTGGCCTTTTCTTTGGAAATATAGAAAAACTGACAATTGTTACATTTTAGTAATTGGAAAGTGTGTCTTGTGTGTCCTTCGTTCATTAGGTAACTTTGTCGGAGCCCAGCATTTTGTCCAGTACTTCAGAATTTCAGGCTGAACCAGTGGAAGGCCGCAGAGTCAGCAAAGTTGTTAAAACCACTATGGTACATGGAGAGAGGATGGAGAAGCACATGGGGGATTCGAGCTTAGCCAGTGATCTTCCTTCAGCCAAAGATGACTTTGAAGAGGTACGGAAGCATTGCCATTTGTCTTTGTGTCTGCTTTATGTCTGCCCTGTCTTTGGAATGAAAACGGTTTCTCATCGTGGCATCCCATATATGAGTTCATGGGAGACAGCAGAAGAATTCAAGGGAGGAGAATGCCTGTTTAGATAACTTACACATGGAGTAAGCTTTCCTCAACCAGTAATGCCCATTAGACACCTGAAGAACCTTAAAGCTCCAAATGGCCAGGATTTGCACCTGCTGAGTCAGAATCAAAATACCGAAGTTCAGGGCATGATTGCACACCATGTTTTAGAAATGCAGACATGACTTATCCTCGGCATTAATTAGGGGAAGAAATAAAAGATGTTCCAAAGTATTTTTGCTAGTGAACACTTCAAATATTGCTACTAGTGCATTGGAGAAAATTCTCTGTAGCTATAGATTTTTAGAACAGCATTTCTAATTCATTAAGATCTGTCTGCCAGCAGTTATTAAAGGGTTCCCAGTGTCAGGTCCCAAACTCTTACTATAATTGGAAAGTCCAAAGCCATTAATAATCAAAACAAATCTTATAAGTCAGTAGCAAACTAATTTGGCAATAAAATATGACCTGAACTGACAGGGAGGTATATATTGTCTTAAAAAACAAATCCTATTTAGAGTAATTATTCATATGTTTTGTTGCCAATATAATAATAGGTTTGTAAAATAAAAGGTACCATATTACCTTTTCGAAATAAAAAAAAAAAAAAACCAACAAAATCAAAACTAACTTTTGAAACATCTCAGGGGACTTCAAAAAGTTGATGAAAAGATTCCATTATTGGTTAATTCCAATTTTTTACCATGAACATTTTGAAGGTCCCTCATATGTGGTCTGAGTGTTTATGGACAGGGACAAACTTCTACAAGCTATTTTTTGCTATTGAAATAATTTTAAGCTGAATGCTGTATGTGTGCACCCTTCTATGGTCTTGTGATTATGGCCAAATGACCTACACTCAGACACTTGAAAGCATACTTTATTTAAATAGGTCCAATTCTTCGCACTTTAACAGTGGGCGACTTGGGACTATTATAAAATAAATTATTCAAGTTATAGGTTTCTGCATTTTTGTTTGGCCCATTTTTAATTTCGTGTTGCCTTGGGTCATTTTATTTACATTGGATTCTCCACTGTAGAATGGAGTTGAGTGAGGCAAGGGGGAAAGTGAGGTTAAGCAGTACGGATGTTGGCCAGCAGTGTTGTAAAGTAATACAGCACATCTCCTTGACAAGTGGAAGACATTTAAGACAGTTGTTAAATCATACTCAATAGTTGAGTCTGCTACTAGGAGTTGTTTGTATTTTTTTAATATACCTGATTATTAAGCAAAGTAATAGTTTATTTTAAAGTCTAAGTTTTATGATGAGGTTTTCTCTCCCCCTCCCACTCCTTCAGGCTTTGAGTTACACAGGTAGCCACCTGAAAGTCCACCTCCCAAGTCTAGTAGAGAATGAAATCTTGAAAGAAGATGGATCAATAATTAAAAGGTTTGGGTTAGCATGGGGTGATACTTTGCAAACTAACACTATTAAAAAGGGTTGTGATTTATTAAAAAGAGAAGCGGAACTCCTCTACATACCTTAAAACCTCCCAGGAACTGCTGAGTCTCCTTGCAGCCAGCATTAGGTCAAGTGGTAGAGTCATTAGCATGTTGTGTTTGGAGTACCTCCTGGATGCTCTGAAAGTACTATTGAGACACAGTGCTGGGGATATGCATGTTCACACAAGCTAACTCCCGGGGTTGTAGAAGGTCGTCCATAGTATACCCAACTATGGATTGTGGGTAGTACCATTGTGCTGGTCGTCTTGAAGAGCATAGGAAAATTAATCTCATTGCTCAAAAGTTAGTTTGTGACCAACAACATTGAGGTAACATTAGTAAATCATTACTTTGAAATATATGGATATATATTTCAAATATAATATATATTATTTATGTATATTTATGAAATATATATATATATACACACACACACATATATGGATATTTACAAACTTTCATGATGCTGCATGTGAGTGGCAAATAACCGGAGCATGATTTTGATATTCAGGACATTGAATGTAGCTGGCGATGCTGGAACCTTGTCCTTGAGTAGATGAAGAAACGGTGATGAGGGCAGTAGACAACCCGTTTGCATTCAGGTAGAAGGCTTTGGCGGTGAGGGTGTCCGCTCTAGCACTGTCCCATCGCTGGTTTGGTCTATAACTTTGCCAAATATCCTTTTGGCTGACTTCTTTTTCTTCTGGTCCCCTATCAGCACTGCAGGTATCAAAACTAATAGTGACAAGGCAAATATCCAAGGTAGGATTGTGCTCCCCACTCCATTGAAAAGAAGAGAGCAATGACCACATATAGCACTCTGCCATGCTATTTTCAGCCTCTGGAACATAGTAATCATGCCACTGCATATTAATTTTATTTCCAGCAAAATTAAAGTTTCTGTCACAATTCGACCCCTGAAATCAAATGGGAAAGCCAGCAACAGCTTGCAATGTAAAACGGTGTAATTGCTCTTAGTACTTAAATTCTGCATGAATTAGGAATAAAGTGCTCTTTATACTCTGATCTTTGGAGTCATTTATCCAGTTATTCACCAGAGTCCACTTACACTGTCCATGCTCTGGCACCATGGGATCACCACATTGAAATGGATTGAGAGACCAATCAACCTATAGCAGGGGACATTAAGGCTAGGGATCCACAGACAACTTGAGAGAGTCCGCACAACTAATACATTGCTGAAAACATTTTCCCCTACCCATTGCTCCTCTGATAAATATAGTGTGTATATACATATGGGTGTATATATTTCTGTTAAATATATGTTTAGTCCCTCTTGCTTGAGTTTTATATATACATACAAACACACTCATGTACATTTGTTGGAGGGTTTTCCTGATACCACCATGATGATCTCTTCTGCTACCTCTCGGCAAAAAATACTTAAGATAGTTGCCTATTTAAAGAAAAATAATAATGATGCATGCTGAATGGTTACAGAAGCATAATCTTATTGGAACCAAATTTGACCTTTTAGCAAGAGAAACACGTGTAAGTTTTCAGATACAAGGCAATTCATATAGTTGCAAAGGAAGAGAGAGAAGGAAAGAACAGGAGTGTGTAGGGATAAGGAAGAAGAGAAGATTAATATCCAAAGGAAAGTAGCAAAGTGTTTTGGTTCAAATAAGGCTTTCTTGCCTGCTATCAAATCAGGATGATCTTAACAGATACATCAGGGTGTTAAAATGTAGGCTAATGTTCAGAGCAGCTCTTGGGCAGGATTTCCAGCATATGTACATTCTCTTGTTAGTGTTAAGCCTGCTCCAACTGATGGCCACCCCTTGTGTCAAGCCTAGGATACTTCCTGGAGGTCTCAAGGCTGTGGGCTTTCTGAGGCAGCTTGTCTTCTAAGGCTTCTCTGGGTGGGGCTCGAACCTGCCAACTTTTCTGCTACTAGTGGAACAATGAACTATCTGCACCTCCCTGCAGCTTCTGGACCCTAGGAGTTCCTAAAGACATTGCTGGGTAAAACTAGGAAAGGCGACCGTTTCCCTCGGTGGTTTCAAGTGAAGATGCTTGGTAGTGTGATGATGGATTCAGGCTCTGAAATCTTTGACTCTTGGCCTCACTACATACTATCCATTTTTATTTGGGGGCATTGCTTAAATTCTCAAAGCTTCTGTTTCCTTATTGGTATTATAATTTAATCTGTTAATGGTCCCTTGCATTGTACCTGGCTCATAAAACACATTCAGCACATGTTTGTGGAATGAAGAGCTACATCTTTAAGTAGAAAGGGAATAGGACCAAGAGGCAGGAAATAACATTGTAAACATTCTCCAGCAGGGATACAAGCAAATACTGTTGGGTATAACAGAAACACGGTAGTTTTCTCAGACTGGTGGGAACCAAGGGAGCAGCCTATTAAGTGACAGCATGATACAAACAATGGACAGACCAAGTCCAAAGGGCTGCAGTAATAAGACAAATGCTTAGTCCTCAGTGTGGGCTTTGCATTTGTTCCTTCCCTTCTCCACCGCTTCCAGATGAAGGCTCAGAGGTTGTGGCAATCTTTGTCTATTTGTGGTTCCCTTCCAGTATATTCAGGAAGCCCTGTAGCATAGTAGTTAAGCATTGGGCTGCTAATGGCAAGGTCAGCAGTTTGAAACCACTAGCCACTCCACAGGAGAAAGAAGTCGTAGACAGAACTTTCTACTGAGGTAAAGAGTTACAGTCTCAGAAACTCACAGGAGCAGTTTACCCTGCCCTGGTTCTATAGGCTTACTCGATGGCGGTGAGTTTGGTTTTTTTTGTTCCTGGATATTAACAGGATAATATTCCAGTTTCTAAAGATCCATGTCCTATGGGAAAGTCTTTCCAATCCACCTTTTTGGAATTGGGGTCCAGCTGTTTCTCTGAAGATCAAGCTGACCACTAACATGTTTTAAGTAAATTTAGTTTAAAACTTTGTGTTTTCCTTTTCTTGGAATTAAGTACATCTGAAGTCACTATTTCAGGATGAACCAAGCTCTTTTAAATCAGCACAACCTAATCAAAATATGAATGATGGCATAGTTACTTTGGAGGGAATTATACTCATGTTGTGGCATGGTTCTACTGAATTGAAGCATTGGGGAAAAAATTGAATGCCACTTGTAGAAGACATGCTTTTTAAAAAATCCCATGAATCATTTCAGAGAGGGGAACCATGTTTCAAGAAAGTCATGAACGATGGCTTCGTGGATACCAATGGAACAGTCTTCTACCAACAGATCAGTGTAGGGAAATGCTAGGGCAGAGGAATAAGTACCCAAGACAAGCTGAACAAGACAGTAATAGAATGGTTACCTCCACTCACACCTACTGTTGTTGTTGTTAGTGCCGTTGAGTCTATTTCAACTCATAAGGATCCCACAGGGCAGAAGAGCACTGTCATTTTTACAGGCATAGATCGCCAGGTCTTTCCCATGCAGCACCGTGTATGGATTCAAACCGCCAGTCGTTTTCATTGGCAGTATGACTATTATGCCGCCAGGGCCCCTTCCGTGGTGGGGAAAGTTCCTAATTTGCTCTTGTCTGCTTCCCTCTAGGACAACGATGAGTAAAGCCCATACCCAGAAGAGGGCTGTGGTGAAGGACCAGCATGGCAAACACGTCCACATGCAGCACCTGGAGGATGTCCCAGAAGCACTAGGCCAGGATGACCTCCAGCACGACCTCCAGCGGCTCCTTCGGCACTTCTGCAAGGAGGGCTCAAATCGAGAGGCCACCTAAGGGGCTGCCCAGTTCTCAGATCAGAAACCACACACTCCCTCAATATGCAACTCCTCGTTCCACTCCTGCACTCGCCAGAACCGGCCTCACAAATGGGACACCCTGGCATTTCCACTTTGAGCAAACACGCTGCGTTTTCCTTCCATGTCCCCTACCCTTTCCTCCTGTCCACTAAGTTGTGACCAAAGATAGCATCCTTTCTTCTGGATGCTGTGCCCACTACTTGGTTGTGTGAACCTGGGGACTGGCCGCCTCCATTGTTCTTTGCTTCTGCACAACCTCCATGAAAACCCATTGATCAGAAGAACTTTCTCTGCAGACCTCTCCGGTGAGGGATCCCCCAGAGGGAGGTCCATGTACAATGTATATAGTTGACATGCTCAGATGAACAGCATATTAAGATGAAAACCACTGCCTATCCTAACTACACTGGGCATCATGGAAGAAAGGGCCTCTAGGAATTGCTGAACAATGGTTAATTAAGAGATTGCTAACACAATCGAATGACAATACAGTTCTACTGCAAACGAAGCAGTTCAGAATGACCATGTCCTTAGGACTTCCAGAGTAGCCACTGCTCCTAGTCAAAGAGAGGTTAATAACCTTCAAGTTCTTGTCCTTCACAGAGATGTCATTGCTGGGACTGGCCAGCCATGACACATGATTCTCCAGCAGCCACTCTGAGAGAGAGAGAGAGAGAGAGAGAAAGAGAGAGAGAGAAGCAGAGGCAAACAGCATGAAACCATGAGGTATTTGGTTGCTAGCAGCTACCTCCTGTAGTGTTCTAGCATCTTCAGGTCTTTGAGATTTGAACGAGTTGGCAGGGTATTTTGCAAAGCTCTAACTACTGTAGTTCTCCAGTTTTCATTGCTGCTTTAGCCAACCACGCTGTCTTACTGGTGGTACTTCCCCCTGTCCACTGCACTGTAGATAATTCATTGGAAACAAGATTCACCCACTACACAAAAGCTGAAAAACTCCTTCACCATGTTTGAGTGGTTTTTTTCTTCTTTTCCTCTTTTTTCTATCAGGGTGTCTATCTTCTCTAACACCTGCATGTGGCATTTAAGAATCCAAATCACAGTCCAAAGCCCTCTTCTCATCACACTAATCTTTTCCATCCTTCCTACACAGATCGAGCGACTGGCCCTGCCCAGCGAGGTCTGGTTTGGTTTTGTTCTTACCCCGCTTGCAGACCAGATTGAGAAATCTTAAAAATTTGGTTGGGGTTAAAAAAAATGTCAGTTTATTTATTTGAAATCCAAACTCCCTTGGGAACGCTTAAGTGCATTAGTGTACTTTTCGGCTTGTTTGTTTCAAAGAAGGGGATCTCATGGTCTGAGTATTTCCCGTCCCCCGTCCCTGAATCTGCTAGTGGTTGAAGCTGTGTAGCATTTTAACATATATATATAAATATATATATTCACAAATATATTCATATAAACAGTATACATTTTGAATCAGTTATTAAAGAAAAGTATATTCAATGAAGATGACATTGAAAAAAACAAACCACCAACCAACCGTCTATCCTCGAGGAAATGAAACCTTTCCAATTTCATCTGGTCCTTTCCCGTTGTGCAAAAATGACTCAGTGCTCCAAAATGTCAAAAATAAACCAACCCGAACGTGACAAACAAAGGCACTTCATCGTTTAAAATAACATTGCCAAGAGAGAAAATTTCCTGGGAGGGAGGTTTCCCATAAGCCGAACCTCCTAAGCCTCTACCGCTAGCACTTTTGGCAGTCAGATAGGAAACTGAGCATTCTCTGGCTGTCCGAATGAGAGGCCCATGGTGAAATTTTGGGGAAACACACCGTGGCCTTCTTGTCAAACCTTCTGTGGAGCTCAGACAAGCCTTTCTGTTGGGTTAGTCGCAGTGCAGATGATGTCTGTGTAACAACATGATGGTTACTCACCTTTCTTTTGAAATTGATTTTTGCTGTGTTATCAAAAAAACTTGAATACTGTGAGAAGAAGTGATTTCCAGTTGATGAATCAGCATCTTGTTCCCATGGTGATAACACTAATTGAATATATCTATGAGGGCATGTATTAGTTAATGGGAAAAAATACAACACTAACAATACATAGCTGCAATGTGTACAATGGCTGATTTAATTAAATAAAATGTACAAGTGTTAAATGTGGCAACAGTGATTTGTTCTTGTTTATCGCTGACCTGTGATTTCAGGAGAAAAAAAGACATTATGAAAGAAACCCAGAGATTTGAAGCCCACCCAAGCCAAACCCATTGCCCTGGGGTCGATTCCATCGGATAGGCGCCCTCTAGTACAGAGTAGACCGGCTCCTTAGGGCTTCCAGGTCTGTCACCCTCTATGGAAGGAGACTTTCTCCAATGGAATGGCTACTGTGTTTGTGCTGCCAACTGTGGTCTGGAGCCAAGTGCTTAACCTGCTGGGCCACTAGAGCCAAGAAGGCATACATTGGTATTTTTTCCTTTATTGTTTATGTTTATTTGTTCTAGAGGCTGTATGCTTGGCACTGGGATCAATAGAAAGACTTCTTGCCCTCAAAGGATTTATGCTGTTACTCCGACAGATAAGGAGAAAACCAGGTACAGATTTTCTCCTTTAGTTGTGGAACTCGTTAGCTGTCAAGGAGACCTCTCCCAGGCATAGGACTCTTGGGACCTCGAGCCCGATGGAACAAAATGTTGGGAGGTTTCCTGGTCACAATGAGGGATTGGACTATTGGGATATGGAGGGTTTCCCCTGGCTGATTTTTCAGACATATATCGCCAGGCCTTGGTAGGCAGTCTGTCTGAATCTAATGGCACCTATTCACCATCAGAGCAGCACAGCACCATAACCTTCATTGAGATGGATGCATTGGCTAAACATTGAATTTGAATCTCCTGCATGGGAAGTTCGACTTGTACCAGCGAATCACCAGTGCCTCACAGAAGAGCCCGAGAACTCCCGGGGAGATGAAGGCCACCAGCCGGGCCAGATCCTTTTACTTCCATCTTATAAGGCCGTGGTTCTCAGGAAACACCTATGCCTTTGGGAATAGCACATAGCTCAGGAGTTTTATTTCGCTTTTATAGCTTGAGAATTAGACAATAACTGCACCTGCTGATATAAATAAAATCAAGGATGGAATATGCAAAACTGAAATCAATAGTATATGAGGATTTTGTGTTTTGCTTTCCAATCTCTTGTGTTACTCTAATATTTATCACACTAAAAATATGCACAAAATATAACAGGTTAGAAATTAAGTGGGTTTCAGAACAAAACCATACCCAAAGTGAATGGGGGTGGGGGCATTGGAGACCCAATGCCCATCTGTGGACAATTGGACATCTCCTCACAGAGGGCTCACAGGGAAGAGATGAGCCAGTCAGGGTGCAGTATAGCACCGATGAAACACACAACTTTCCTCTAGTTCTTTGGTGCTTCCTTCACCCCACTATCATGACCTCAATTCTACCTTACAAATCGGATGAGACCAGAGCATGTACATTGCTACAGATAAGAGCCCGTAACACATGGAATCCAGGATAGATAAAGCTCTCAAGGCCAACAATGAGAATAGAGATACCAGGAGGATTTGGGGAGAAAGGGGGTAGAAAGAGGGAATCGATCACAAGGATCAATCTAGAACCCCCTCCCAAGGGGAAAAATAGAGGAAAAGCGGGTGAGGGGTGACAGATGATTATGTAAGATATGAAAATAATAATCTATAAATTATCAAGGGGTCATGAGGGAGAGCGGCCAGGAGAGGGAGGGGAAAGAAATGGGGAGCTGATATCAAGGGCTCAAGTGGGAAGAGAATGCTTTGACAATGATGGTGACAGCATATGTGCAAATGTGCTTGACACACTGGATGAATGGATTGTGATAAGCGATGTAAGAGCCCTCAATAAAAATATTTTTTAAAAAATCAAATCACAGGAACTAAAAAAAAATTTTTTTTAAAAACAAGAAGGAAATTAAGTGGGTTTCATTAAAATCTTATCAGGATGGGATCATAAGCTCACTGGATCTGATTTATAAGTTATTCAATTATTAACACTCCAATTCTGCGTGGCATTTTTCAACGTACATGAAGTCAAAATTTGTTGTTGTTTTCTGGGCAATCTTTCCAAAATAGGAGGATGAGGAAATAGTGTGTGGGAAGTGGGGGGACACCTCTGGCAGCCTCTGGCTACACACGGGGGAAGGAGAACCCAACCTCACACCAGCCCAAGGCTGACTTCCATGAGGCAGAAGGCAGACGTGCCGGTGCCATCCAACTTCCCTCACTCTGCTTTGAAAGCAATGGTTCCTCCCGGGCCCTCTATTCCTCTTCTGGGTGTGATAGTCCACTGTAATGGCTCCACAGAACTCACAGACAATACTCATGGTTCTGGGGCTACTGGGAAGCTACAAAATAGGCGACAAAATGTGAGGGACACAGTCCCTTTGATCTCAGTGCCTCTTCTCAGCCTCGCTGGTGGGCATGTGTCTCTGGTCATCGGTCCTAATCACGTGTTACACAGCCCCTTTAGTGCTGGTAAATGTCCAAAGAGCAGCCACACTGCAAGCCAGCCACCTGCCGAGAGGTGATCGGTTTCATTCATTCGGTGGGCCAAGAAGCCCTCCTCTGCCCATCTTGGCCCTGGCTATCTTCTCCTCCAGGAAAGAATTGGGCACACTTCACAAAGCGTTCTTCGTCTCGCTTCTGCTTCATAAATGGATCACCTAATACCCAGTGGAATGGCACAATTGAACAATGCCCTCTATGAGGGCTTCACACCCCCTATTTTCACGCCCCCCCCTTTTTTTGTTTCTGCTGTGCTGTTCCCACAGCACTCCCGGTTTTTCTGATGGTTCTATAGTTCATTTAATGGTCGTGCAAAATGCACTGGTGATGCTAAGGACTGTGGGATTTACTAAAGTTAACAGGGCACAATTCAGGGTGAGAACTGCTCAGGATACAGTTATCCAGTCAGGACGGGTCTCTGCCATGCCACAGGCATGCCTCTCCCTGGCTTTTAGCCTATTAACCTGACTCCTGCCCTGCTAGGCCATGCTACAGAAGCTTCTTTGGGCTGCTAATCAATGTTCAAAAGACATGTCATGCTGCTATCCGCCTCAACCCGGATGCATTCAACTCCAACTGAGTCAGCACACTGAGCTCCCCCAATGAAGTGCCCAGAGGCAACACACTCCACCAGTCAGCCCCCTGCCTGGAAACACTCAGCTGTCCTTGCCGGCTGGTGGGCTGGGAAGTCCACCGCTCTGCTTCCTGCTCTGGCTCCTTGTTCAGCTGTTGTTGCTCTTCTGCTGTCACAGCTGTCACCTGGACCAAGGAGGTTCAACATGTAGGGACCAGAGAGCCCAAAGGCTGCACTCCACTCCTGGTGCTTCTCCATTGTTGGTAGAAGGAGTCTCCCTATCAAGGTAGTTAGTTTATTGTACCAACCTGGCTGATAAACACACGTGGGATTAATTGAAGGGCGGAGCGAGAACTCACTC